GGCGAGGCTGGGCGGGGGACCCCGACAGCGGGTTTGCTGCTAGTTCTTGCCTGCATCAGTGCACTATCCGGCTGACACCCCCTCCGTCCCGGAGCCTGTGGCGCCCCCAGGCCTGCCCTCACGTAGAGGAAATCCTCAACACCGCCCCCCTGGAAGGACTTCCCCAGAGGAAACCGCACGAGTCTCCAAGAAGTTGGGGGAGAGGATGCATCCAGGTCTCCTTGTGATGGCGCAGATGCAGGGGTAAATGGGAGCTCCTTCCTCAGCAACAGCTGGTATGGGAAGGGAAATGAACCCCTTGTGAGTCGAACCCTTTGTAAGTCAGGGCTGTGTAGGAGAAGACTGAAAGCACACACGTTCTTGCTCAATTTCGGTTTGGGGCTGGACATTTCTGCCCTGCTGCTCCTCAACCCACGTTCGCATCTTTCCTCCAAATCCTGGGGAGGGCACCAGAGCCAGCGCCCCAATGCAGGGAAGCTGCGGCCAGCGGTCCCCGCTGAGGGCGAGGTCTGTGGCTCTTCTACCTCAAGTGACCAACGTCTTTCTGGACGCGGGCGGGCCCTATCACTGGGCGAACGACGAAATCGGGGACCGAGGGGGGACACGAAGCAAGCTCTGGACCGGTTCTGGCCTCCCGGCTTCTAGGTCCTCGGAGGTTGCTCCGGGTTTGGCCCCCATCTGCGAGGCGGGAGTGGGATGGGCCGAGGTAAAGTTCTAGAGCCGGGACCCCTCCGGTCCGGTCGGCAAATCAGACTTCGCGACTCTGCCCCTCCTTTAGTAGCAGGTCACGCCGTCATGTCCCAAGCGAGTTTGCCAGGGGGGCGTAACCATCTCCCCTGCCTGGGCCACCCACAGGGATCCCATTTTCCGCCCTTCGCCCTGCTCAGTGATCCCACTCAGAGGCTACAGCTGCGCTCTGCAGGCCTGGGAGACTCGCTGGGACGAATCCCGCAGGGGGGAGGTGGTCTCCGTTAGCCTAGCAGAGCGGAGCGCACCGGCT